CAAACGTGTCATTTTAAGGTATTTGCAGAGTAGTTTTGATTTGCGCTTACGGAATGGCGCTTTTTACGTTCATCACGGGCATTGTGTATATGACGTATTGCCCCCGTCAGTACCACATTGCTGGTTATCTAATAATTGGAGGTACAAGTGGAAAATGTGATGTTAGAACTTTACGACATATAATTATCAGGGCTGTTTTCAACAGTTTTCATCACAATAAGATTTGTGCGTAGAGTAAAACCTGGAACCTACATCGGGCTCGGTTGGGTATTCTCCATTGGGCTCTTCATATTAGGTTGTGTTTGGATATACAAAGTGCCCCAACTGAACATTGGTCAAAGTTTCAAGTTGCACTGCGATCCAGTGTTCCACATAATTGCCTTTTGGATTGTGACCGTCGAATTGATATTAATAGCTCTTGGAATTTGTGCATTATGTATCACGTGTTACATTTAAATTAATGCTCATTTATTGGATGAAATAAAATTCAGGAGATGCGAGATTGAATTGCGCCTTGCAATATGCTAATGGAACTTGAAGAACATGTGCAGTTCATATCCCTCTATTTAGTTTGTGGGAAATCGGAATTGATAACGTTTACTTTGCGTAAGCGAACAGGAACATGCTACATCGGAGCTTCGCATTTATTAAATCGAGCGTCAGAAGCCAAAAAGATTAATTCTTTGCATGGGGATAATAAGATCGTGGCTCATCGGGCGATATAACTGAAAATTAAAATGACTTGAAGTGTAATATATAGCGACATAAACTGCACTCGATTCTTTCACTTAAACGGGCACCCTGGGAATTAATTTCACTAAAAGCAATTTAAAATGGCACAAGCGAGAATTGCATTGCTCACATACCAAGTTTTAATGCTAAAATATCATTAGAGGAATTATTGGAGGAATACTTAGAATTTTAATACATCGCATATACTTGATTAAATTGCAGTTCGAGCAAATTTTTGTAGTTTACGATTTTGCGAATGGAATTAATTCAACATTGTTATGGTATGTTAAATATGGCCGTGTGTAATCGCGTGCGGTCAATACACCACCCACAAAACACCTGTCCATCTCAAAACAAATCAAAATTGAAACTTAAAATTTTATATCTCCTCGGACACATCCGGCATCTGCTAGCAGAAACATCCGAATATTGACCAGGTGGCGTCGATCAACTTCCAACAATTCCCAAGATGATTACACAAACTCTGACATGAGAACTCTATCCGGGTCGCATAAAGAATTCGAATGAACACACAATAGATTGACAATGACAAAAGTTTATTCCGATACACATGAACCAAAATTAAAACAAAATCCTTGAAAGAAAACTTGCTTCGACAGAATACTCCACACGCAGGCGGTCGGAAATTAACAAAATTAAAAAAATCACTTACACTTAGAATTAAAATTGGCGAAATGACATGCTCCTTTTTAACAGTCATGTTCATTGTGGGCGATTGTACGACGACATCTTGTATACTAAACGAATATTGTTCGACTAATGTACATAGTCATAGTAATTTCGACTTTGACCGCTCATGCGCCGCACCTAGCAACAGAGGCAGGCTAAGGATAATTTCTTTGAAGGAGTTTCAAACTGGCTTCTATTTTGGGAATGCAAATTACATCTTAATATGGGTCATTTCGTTTAAACGAACGATATTTCGTTGACACGGTTGCGACGTGACTGATTGAATAAACAAAAAAGCTTGGGCACGTTTTTATGAGGTAATAAATAAAAACGGAATAGATATTTAACTTGTAAGGAAAGCGCTCTGGGAAGATAGTCAATGTAACGAATAGGTCGAGTATGAAAAAGGAGAACGGGACAGTCAATAAAGTTCCATTGTTGAGTGCAGTTAGGGATAGAAATATGTAACTTAGTCAGGCAAGCTAAATTCACTTATCATTAATTGATGAAATTAAATATTATGTGGTGTGATATGCGTAAATGCAGCCGTATGGGGGCATGGTTTGGGGAACACGACTTAATTAAATTTAACGTTGCGTTTTATTTAATTAAAATTAAGCCGCGCTAAATTATGTGTTCGGCTATCAATTATTTTTAATTGAAATTAAGTTTACCAAATACGCAAGCATCTAGTAATTCAGTAAGTTACACTAAATTCGGCTGAAAGGATTATTTAATTCCCTTTACTTGCTTCTCTTGTAATTGACTTTTATGATCACTCTGTAGATGAACACCCGGTATTTAAAAACGTTTCCGTTGCCGTTGCCGAAAGTATTTGTGTTGCTCAAGAAGTTGAAGACAAAAGCTAAAGGTAATTAATTTAATTTCTAGAGTTGTGTTTCACACGCCGCGCCGCTACCGTAGACAAACGCTGCAATTAATCTGCCGTTTGCAATCGTTTCCGTCAAGATATTTCAATTATTTTTGTTGCGTCCGAAAACTCTTGTCATCTAGAAGACTGGAGCAAGATAATTTTATAAAGTTTCAGCTCCGTTAAGCCATTATGGGCAGGTTTTTGTTTACTATGTCAATTTAAAACGAGCATTAAAACGGCAACGCCGTACATGTTTACGCCGTTATCAGGTTGAGACCTTTATGCCCACCTGAGACATTCCAATCAACAATAGGTATTGATTGGACTACCGACTTTAGAACTTTCAATTCCGACAATTAAGTAAGTGCAATAAACAGTAGCTAAATAAATGTGTTGCAGCATCCGATTAAGTCGTGTGTAGTCTTAAAAGGAGCGCTCTTAATTTGAGTTTTAAGACCAATTATAGATTTTTAGGACGTCAGCAGGTCGCACAATTAATTAAAGAAGTTTTATGGTGGGTTTATACTGTCATTATCATTAGTTTACTAAGCTCAGGATGGTTTCGTTGGTTAGCAGCGCACAATAAACCTTTGTTTCTATTGTCTATTTCTTAATGATTATTGATATTGAACTAATGATAATGATTGTAATAAACCCCCCATTCATTTTTGGATATAGACAACCGAATACGCTGGAATTTTTTTTCGCATACACTGAAAAAATAGCTTAAAAAACTCTACAAAAAAGTTCATTATAGTTTTTGAGAAGTTTTGAATTGTTAAACTAGAGGGCATTTCATAAATGTTATATTAGATAGATATTTGCGATGACTATATTAACTTGACAACTAGTTCGAAGTGACTCCCGCCATTTGCTGAACTCGTTCGATACCTGCTGTCGTTTACTCTGATTGAGTTTGCCCGAGGCTTCAAAGATCAATCCGCCAAACCATTCCTACCCCCTACCTTGACCAGTGACAAGGTTGCAGCATTCTTTTATGGCGGGCGAGTTGACCGTTCCGCCGTTGTAACCGCTGCCGTAGAGTTTATTGAGTTACAATTCTATTTTTTTTATATTTTTTAATAAAAGTTACTTTAAATTAATTTTGCGTTTAATTTGAAAGCTCACCGTTGGTGCGCGAACTATCGAAGTTCTTTGAAACTTTATATTTTAATTTTATCACTTCATGAATATGAAATGAAGTGTTTCAAAGAAATGTTTACTGGTTTAAGGTAGGATTAAAAAGTTACTGCAGCTGACAGTAAGGCGAGGATTGGACCTTAAATTTTGGTTCTGTAGGAAACAAGACTCTTTCACTACTACTGTCAGTGGCGCCATTGAGCTTCAAACTTTGGTTCTGTAAGCCGCAGGCCATATTACAAGTCCGCCTTCCCGTGGCCAATCGGTCCCGAGTACTGTCATTTATCAATTTGTTCGTAGTAGACCGAAAATTAAAGGCTCGGGGCGTCGGGTTTAGCTGTAGAGGTGGTGCAAGTAGTGTTAGAAAATGCATAGTAGGCATCCACCTAAATAAATGTCAGAAAACTCGAAACCATTGTCTATGGCCCGTAGAAACTGAACACGGTTTCAAGCACCGGGTGCGCGGTGTGCCGTTTATGCTTAGATTAAGGCATAAAAGGCAGTTCGTACAATGCAATCGACTCGTTGAGTAATTATTCAGGAACACCTGTGTGTCGATTCTGTGGTTAAAACCAGTAATTTTGGAACACTATGAGTCTACCATTCGATACGGTCCTTAATGAGGTTAGTAGCAATTTGACCACAGTTTGTCAGATGGGCTACGAAAAATTGATTCTTACTAATGCCCTGAATCATGCTTTTGAGTAATATATTTGAGCATGCAGTTTTCCAAATGACAAAAGCTTGAGTCTTTATTTTATTGTGTTGGTATAAAATGCCATTTAACTATTCTGGAACGCCCATACACTTTCCAATTGCTGAGAGATAAAATTAAAATGCCCCGTCACAATTTTAATCATCCCAAATCATGCATATGGAGTGGATAATGAAGGGTTAATAATAATTTGGCGTGTCCATCATCCCTAATTAATTCGTACCAATTAACATTTTAACTGTATTAACCTTTAGTTCTGACGATCGCCTGAAGTGTAGAGCGGAGGATAGTTTCGAAGTTAATTGTTTAGTTGTATTACAACAAAACTTTTATAAACAGTGACCGACCACGCTATTTACCTAGAACTTCGGAAAAATTTACCAAGCCACTAGTTATATATTTATTAATAAAATCTCTTGTTGCTTACTCTTTTGTTTACAGTACCTGCAATAAACCACCAGTAAAATACACGAGCTTTTTGGATAAATTTAGATAGTAATCTGAAGGTGTAAAAATTATCTTTGGGACTTTTTAAATCACAAACTACTCGGATGTAATAAATTAATAGGCGATTAATCTCGCTAATTACAAATAAATTAGTCGGACAAGTTTTATGTCGCATTTGTAGATGTGGCTAAAATGAAATGCAAAAACGACTTTAATTTTCATTTCCATTGTGCATTATTCGGAATGATGCATTTTGCAATGTGCTACAAAATTGAAATTGCAAAATAGAGGGAACACGTACCGCAAAGCCAATATTTTTACAAATGTGACAGATGTTGATTTTCACAATTTTAAAGTGCGATTTACTGTAAGGCAGTTAAGTAATGCGGTTTTTTTCGTTGCAGGCGAAGCTAGAAACCAAAGCTCTCAAAGCCAAACGGCCTGGCTTTACGGATGATCGTTACAACGAAACGTCTTACTACATTGAGAACGGTAAGTATATGCGTAGGTACGGCTGCGATTGTTGAGTTTTAATTTTTGTTTGCGAAACTTCTCCTAATTTTTGGAACAATAAACCCTTGCGCTCGTAATCGCGCGACCTGAAAGTGTTTTTTCTCACAACGTTTAACTTGTAGAGTGCGCTGCAAAGAAAACTGAAAAGTTGAGTAGCGTGTTCGCGTCGTATTTAAATTGCTTTTACGAACTCATTATTTTCTTTTCGTTTCACATTTTACCCTCTTATTCTCTAGCTAGCTTTATAAAATAAGTTTACCTTTCTTCCGTTTTATTGGTCTAATGATTATTACTTTAGTTAGGTTGGTAATAGTCACACATTTTTCCTTTCAGGCCTCTTTTTAAAAGGAAGTTTTTATTTAACTCTGCTTTTTGCTGTATGGATCTTCGGTTGGAATTTTGCCGATTAAAGCCTTTCTACACCCTTCTTACCATTAAAAACAGATGACGATAATTGCGTGTGTAATTTAGATCAGGTCACATGCAGGTATAATTCTTTCAATCCCATGAGTGGTATTGTTGATTTCGTGTAGTCGAATCCAAACTCACAAATCGATTAGGACGTCGACATAGATAAGTCGATTTTATCACCCTATTGATTTTTACCTTACAGATCTGACTCTGACTGGTCTGAATTTTGACTTAAAATCGTCTTTGTGCATGTACTACACAATTTATAACAGCGCAAACTATTTATTACTTCGACGTGGAAATTGGAACTGCCCTGGGACGCAAGCAAAACACGCACTCAGTGTCACTCCAATATATAAAAACACCCCTGCGATAAATTCGCGATGATTGACTTGAGTTCGCTCGCGGTTCAACGTAAGTGTTTCTAACATAAATAAAATACACCCTGCGTTAGTCGATAGGTGTTTGACTCAACTTCGCTTACGGTTCAACGCCTCGTGGTTCGACGCGAATAACATACCTTTTCCACCAATAAAACTAATTTTTCCGTCCAATCACACCGCCTGATACCTATAAATTTCTCAGTCGCTAATGTGGTTGGACCACACTAAAGACATACGAAGTAAGCTCATCCGGTGGGCATTGCGGCTCCAAGAGTTCACTTTTGACGTAATTCAATGCCCAGGAAGAGAAAATGAACTTCCTGACCACCTGTTCCGCTACCAGTTGACAGAGCAAGTCGACCAAACTATGTGAAAGGACGTCAACCGCATGCTGTCTCCAACAATCGAACATCCGGACAGCGAAACCCCCAGTCACCCGGTAATTGCGGCGATTAAAGAAGGTCAGAGAGCAAACGAGAACGCCATCATTCTGGTACAAACATAGCATAGGATCCAACTGGAAGGGATAGTGAAGCTTGTGTGGGAATGCGTAAGGAACTGTTAGGGGTTAGTCGCCACCATACGAGGACCGATACAAAATGCTACCGTCCGACTACGCCCATGGGAGATCATATTCGTGGACTTTATGGAACCGTACACCGCAGTGTGAACACCGGCAACAGGATCCTTCTCATCGTAACAGACCTATGTGGGTGGAAGCCTTTCCCCCCTTTTGTTACCACCGACATCGTGATCAATAGGCAGCAAAACAAAGTTTTCGGACGCTACGGCTTTCCTAGAGCCATAGTGTCGGACAATGGACCTCCGGAACGCAGTACTCACGCACTGAGGATGCGACCACTGGACCAGTCTCCTCACCGAGGGTAATATCGCCCACACCACCCCGAAAGTACTTTTATCTGCAATCCCACTTCTATTTTTAGCGCATTTTTTAAGAATTAAAAAAATGTGCTATTGTTAGCGTTTTGTCCGTCCGTCCGGATCCACTTCTGCGGTTTTGAATTAGTTTTTAGGGGAATGGTCCTAGAGTCCTGGAATTTTTTGCAATATGTAGCCTATACCTTGAATGTGGCCAGACGACCAACAAATTTCGTTGTTTCAAGAAGGGACTCCCTATGAATTATTTTCAGAGATGCTGTTTTTGAAAGTGCATAATTTTTACATGCGACAACCAACTGGTCTCAGATTACGCATACGCATGCCTTTAGTCGTTTCAAGAAAACTTTTTGAAAAGGGGGGGCGGAGATGAACACACATTCTACCCTTCAAGGTATTCTGGTCTCACCCAAATGAACTGGTTTGTAGAAACTATAACCTTCCTGCGCGATTCCTTTCCGAGATCAGTAGGAGGTCGTGGGGAGAAGGGAGGGGGTAGAAAATTTTATCTTTAATGGTATTCCAAATTTGATCACATGCCAGGTCGAAAACTCGAACTGTTATCTATTAAAACATTAAACTTTTTTAACCTGACAAGACTTTTATTTTCGTAACAAAATTTCTCAACATTGCAAGCATAACACTTTTCGGCGAACACTTTTAGATACGGATGCTACAACAGCATAGTTCACATAAAAGCAAAAAGTATAAATAAGCCGCTCATCTTTTACAAAATAGAAAAATTAACTACAGATACTCGTAGAGGTTTAATTTGCGAAGATCCTGACCTCACGAATTCCACTGCGTTTTTTTCCCAAAACGTGTATTTTGAATAGAACCTCGGTCTAAAACATCTGTCATACGGACTTATTTGTATTAACTATATTTAATCTATTATCGATAGCATAAAATCTCAAACCAAAGGGATGCATTTCGCAAACTTACTAAACTAATGAAACTTATTGATTACTGCACTATATACCGAATTACAACAATCCCTTGCCAATCTAAATGATTATCTTTATTTTCAGCTCTGCGTAAAGTTTACCCGTATTATTTTACCTTCACAACCTTCACGAAGGGAAGATGGGTGGGGGAACGAATATTGGACGTATTCGCAAGAGAATTCCGAGCACATCCCGCAGAGGAGTACGAGAGATGTATACGAGCGGGAACCTTAACCGTAAACTACGAAAAGGTCCCTACCGACTACAAGCTGAAGCACAACGATTTGCTCGCTAATGTCGTCCACAGGTACATTATTACCCATTTCATTTTCTAATCTAAAATTGTTTTATCGCCTAAATGTCGCTTTAGTTTTTTTTTTTATTTTTCGATAGGATAAGGGAAAAAAGCTCCCCTTTATAAATGGAAAGTAATTTGATACCGTTAATAAATTTCGCACTTTGGTAATTAGAAAAGTGGAAGTGTACGGTTGACGTGTATTATATCTTCGGTGCGGTAGTGTGAAGTTGATGAGGAGTAACCGCTAGGGAAATGTAGCTGCCTGGAACAGGAGGAATAAAATCAGTGTATCATTTGCACAGTTAGAAAATTTTCATTGTTGGGGTTACAATTTCCACGGTCCTGATGCGAGTTCTTCCGCTACTACGACGCTTTAATTAAAACCCTTTCACATTTCACTTTATTCTAATAACTAATTATTTGTAAATATGTCTCTATTATTTTGTAAATGAATGTATAGTTCCGTGTAGCCTGTAAAGTGTATTGAAGTAAATGCGGTTACTTTCAATGCACTTTTAAGCCAGTGAATGTATATATCTCTGTACCGTATTGCATACAATGTGCTAGTAAGTTTTAAAGCATTGACGACACAATGTTCCAGACATGAAGTGCCAGTTACTTGCCACCCGATCACCATTGTACATCTGGACGAGGACGTTGTGGTGGTCAACAAACCTGCCTCTATCCCCGTAAGTGGCTCTGAGACTGCCATTATTTTCCACTCGCACTATTTATAGGTGATAGATAGTGTGCTTGCGCAGACGCTTTGCTTGTGGTGTTCTATGCTATTACTAACTTTTCTTTTATTTGCAGCGGTGTAGGTGTCTTAAAACGTAACAATGAAAGATTTTATACTTACTGTACAAGATGCATTCAGGTAATTAGTCTGAAAGCTTTGCACGCGTTTAAACCACGAAAAACGCATCGTTGACAATACATTCATTTTAGAAATTTGCTCTGCAATAATAGGCACAATGCCGGAATGGTAGTTTAAAATAAATCCATAGCCATCAAATCAAAAGTTATGAGTGTCTAATTTTGTTAAATACATTCGTATTCAGTAGAACAGCTGCACCCCTAAGAGCGATAGAACAAAAACGAATTAATCAAGAGCTAATTTAGTGTTCCAATCGACATAGTCCAGTAAAATTAGAACCGGACCTGGAAGTAGTTTTCGGACAGCTGACAACTCTCTATTTATCTTTTTTCACGCCTTCGCACTTTGATCCTTGGATCTATTGTGCATGCCCCAGGGTCTTACTCCTCGAGAGACGGTTTGTGTCTCTTCCTCCTCGAAGCAGAGGCGATATGTGCTATTCTCAGCTACCCCGATTTCTCACGGGGTAGTGTCCAGTGACCAGTTCTATGTATGACCTTAGTTCACTTCTGCTGAGTGCTAGCAACGAACTGGTTTTAGCCTGATCAGTTTTCAGATTGTGCTGTTCCAGGGACAGATGTTTCCGCTCTTTTCCGAGCCAGCTTCTTATCACTCCTCCCGCTAGACTTGGTGGTGCAGTCCGGACTGTCCTAGCAGATGTAAATGCGCGCAATCAGTAGCCGTTTTGTCGCAATGACCTCTGCGCACCATTCAAATACTGTTGGAGTAGTCCCTAAAGCCATTGAGAGTATTCGTAATTCGGTCCTCTTAAATACCTATTCGTACCTCGGAGCCATCTGTGTAGCGTAAGATGTAGTCTGAAATCCTGTGTACAGAACTTAAATGTATATAAAATTATGCTATTCTTTGCCCATTTAAGCGACTTCGTATCTCTTACGATTTACGAGATCCCCATACTAAACATCGGAAAAAACTCACCCCGAGTTCAGGAATGTGTAATTGTTGTTGTGTAAGTGTTTACTGTGCACATGTGCGTGCCCCCACCCACTGTGGAACAATCTGATTGCTCAGATATTCATTGCAGCCTGTTCAGGTGCTCTTGGTTCTGCTTTAGACCACCATACCACTGCAAGGTAGGGCAAGATAGGCTTAATTACAGTGGTGTATAACCAGATGGGAGACGAGTCTCCATTTCTTATCCATAAGGCTTCGGCAGCTTAATAAGGCCATAGTAGCCTTGTTGATAGCCATGCTGATGTGAGGCTTCCAAGTTAACCTCTTGCGTTCTGGAGTGTTTTCCAGCTCTTGCATGCCCAATCGTAGCTTCCGAAATCAAGTCTTGTTCCCTTCGTAAAGGTCATCGCCATCCTGTAAACAAATAGCAAATTTGGTAGATTCATTACGTATTCTCTAGGGTTCCTTCATTTCCATATAACCGTCCTTCTCCTTCAACTGTCGTCTGAAGGTTCCAAACGGCTAGTACTAAAAAAAACTATAGTCCAGGGAATAGAGGGTTTTAACTTGCAAAATGAGAAGTAGTTCCAATTTCTTTTGCATGTCATAGACAGTCATCTGATGGTTAAGAATCTAAGTTTTCGACCTCCCACCCCTTGTGCTTCCCCCGTACCACCCCCAAAACCCCTGAAATATGGTTGGTTTCTTAGTTTTTCAATCATGTCTTTTTAATGGTTCACTTTAGAAAAAAATATTGTTATCAGAAATTGTAGACCATAAAATTCTACACAACTTTGATATACACTACTTTTTTGTGAAATGTTTATTAAAAAAGATATAGAGCTTGAGAGTTGGTTATATTTTTAAGAATTCTGAAATTTCTATGTAGGTGTTTTAATCAAATTTCATACTTTTACACTATAATTAAGATTTTATGAGGAAATATCTTGAATTTATCGTGGTATAAATCCCTCTACCCTGCAC